TGGGCACAACATTGTGAATTCCTCAGGGAGGTGCCAGTCTCCTCCTCTTATCTCTCCTTTTTGCCTCCGGGGATGAAAGAAAATGTTTTTCTCCCTGAGTCTGGCCTTCATAATTCCATTCCATCACAGAAACAATATATAATGGTGTCAAGATCCAAATGCCCTCCAGAAGAGCTCTGTTTTGAGCAGCTTCCAAAAGTCTGCAAGGAGGGAGCCAACCAAAGGCCCACTGGGAGGCCCTTCCAAAGAATTGGCCCAGTCACCGAAAAGCAGCGTCATTGAGCTTCGTCCTCCCTCACGTTCCTAAAGTTAGACAATACTAATCGTTTTTCTGGGTAAACTGGCCAAGCCAATTCCTTTCAGAGCATGCAGTCCTGCAGATAACTAGACACCAAATCATGTAGGGCTTCATAGGTTAGTACAACCACTTTAAATTGTACCCAGAAGCCTGTTGGCAACCAATGCAGTGCCCATACCATTGGTGTAATATGTTCCTACTGATGAACACTGGTCAGCACATGGGCTGCTACTTTTTGAACCAATTGAAGCCTCTGAGTGATCTTCAAATGCAGCCTCATGTAGAGCATTTGCAGTTTTGATGAAGGTATGAGTCACTGACAAGATCCACTCCAGGTAGGGTTGCAACAGGTGTACCAGCTAAAGCCAGGAAAAGCCCCCTTTGGCCACAGTCTCCACCTGCTTTTCTAGCAGGAGCCATGAGTCCAGAAGAACCCTCAAGTCACAAGCCTGATCCTTCAGATAAAATGCCGCTCTGCAAGAGATACTGTTGGGACAAACAAAGAACCCCAATGGACAAACAATAATTCTGTGTTAGTAGGATTCAGTTTAAGCCTATTCTCTCCCATCCAGACTGTCAGCCCACTAGGTAGACCAGACCATAAAACTGACTCCACAGGATATCTACAACTACTTTTACTGAGACTGGCTATAATAATAGAATCTTGCAAGTCTGATTTTGCTGTACCACTTCCTCTTTATAATTCAGTGAATTAGGGAGGTGGTTGTCTGAGCCATTTCCAAACATTATCTGGACATTCTGGGCTTAAGAAATGCTTTAGCCCTTATTATCTTGGAAATGGAGCCTGCATGTCTCCATCAGAGTCATTTTCCTTACCTTCTACACAGACCCACACAGCCTCTAGACACTGGAATAGGACTTCAGTGAGATGTCCAGTCTAGCTTGGGGTAGCATATTGATAATACCAAACCCTAAACCTTTGGATGGTCTTTCCTAGCAACTTCATGTAAGTGTTAAATAGGAGGGGTAAGAGAACCAATCCTTGCATCACCCTACAGTCTCCGGCCAATCTCTCCTGCCCCTCCCCCCACAAGTGGAAGCATCCATCAAGGAAGGAGCATAACCACCACAATATAGTGTCCTCATTTCCCATTTGCTGCAGACAGTCCAGAAGGATATCATGATTGATGGTACTAAGGATGCTGAGAGATCCAAAAGGACCAGGATGGATGCACTTTCTCCATCCAAGTCCCAATAAAGGTAATCCATGACAGCATTATGTGATGATGCAGGCTTGCTCTGTGAAATGTTTTTTGTACTATTTTTATTTACCTTTACTCTGTCAAAAGATGATTGCAGATACAGATGAACATAGCTGTTCTCCAAAAATGACTATACTGCACCAAAGAACTAAATATGCCCTCTAAATATTTTTCCAACATTCTCCTATCTAAAATCTACTACTAATTCACTTATGAAATGCCACTACATGATCACAGATTATGCAGTTTACTACCAACAAGTATCAAAATCAAGATATCTTAGATTCAGCATCCTTATTAACAAATACATTGTAAGACAAAAGCAATACTACATCAAATGCATATCTGCCACCAGAACATGACACGACTTGTTTTTTTTTCTTCATTCCTCTATAACTCACTCATAATTAAGGCTATTCAAGGAAGAGTTGTCAAAATTCAATCAAGGAGAGTTTGGGAAGGGAATTAACAATAGCCTGCTTGCAGACTTCTGGAGGAAGAAATGGCTGACTGAAGATGGCTTGGAAAAGTGGAGCTAACAACCACAGTGGAATGAAGAGCTGGCGAGTAGACCAGCTCTTCAATAATTCCTCTCCAGACCCGGAGAGGACTTGAGATCTCCCACAAGTGCTCCAGACAGCTGCTCCTTGTGAAGCGAACTCAAGATAGTGGTCTCTAGTGGGCTTAGACCTCTAGGAATAGCTATCTTACTCAAACTACGGTTGATGCCTTTGAAAGCACACTGGGTTCACATACTTCCTTTCTAATCACTTTCAGAAATTGCTTGTTAACTGCTTTTCAGCTATTAGGAACCTTTGGATCGACAAATTTTACCACATTGGGTGAGTTTCCTTCAAACCTTCAAACATCTCCCATATAGACTGTTGTAATGTGCTCTACATGGGGCTACCCTTGAAGAGTATCCAGAAGCTTCAACTGGTCCAGAATGCGGCTGCACAGACGATTTTAGGTGCATCAAGATCAGCACATGTAACACCTTTGCTCCGTGAGCTGCATTGGATGCCAATATGCTTCTGGGTCCAATTCAAGGTGTTGGTTATCACCTTTAAAGCCCTACATGGCATGGGTCCAGGGTACCCAAAGGACCATCTCATCCCCATTATATCAACCCATCCCACCCGGTCATGCAAAGAGGGCATAGTATGGACCCCGTCTGCAAGAGAATTTCATCTGACAGGGTCCAGGAGGCGAGCCTTCTCTGCAGCTACCCCTGCCCTTTGGAACATCCTTCCCCCAGAAGTGAGATTGGCCCCCTCCCTTTTAGACTTCAC